TTCTTTTGCTGTGCAGAAGCTCTTTAGTTTAATTAGATCCCATTTGTCAATTTTGGCTTTTGTTGCCATTGCTTTTGGTGTTTTAGATATGAAGTCCTTGCCCATGCCTATGTCCTGAATGGTATTGCTTAGGTTTTCTTCCAGGGTTTTTATGAGTCTGTAATCCATCTTGAATTAATTTTTGTGTAAGGTGTGAGGAAGGGACCCAGTTTTAGCTTTCTACATAAGGCTAGCCAGTTTTTCCAGCACTTTTAAATAGGGAATCCTTTGTCCATTTCTTGTTTTTGTCAGGTTTATCAAAGATCAGATGGTTGTAGATGTGTGGTGGTATTTCTGAGGGCTCTGTTCTGTTCCATTGGTCTGTATCTCTGTTTTGGTACCAGTACCATGCTGTTTTGGTTACTGTAGCCTTGTAGTATAGTTTGAAGTCAGGTAGTGTGATGCCTCCAGCTTTATTCTTTTTGCATAAGCAAAAGAATATTTTCTTTTTGCTTATGCAAAAAGAATAAAGCCATAAGCCAAGATTGTCTCGGCTATACGGACTCTGTTTTGGTTCTATATGAAATTTAAAGTAGTTTTTTCTAATTCTGTGAAGAGAGTCAATGGTAGCTTGATGGGGATAGCATTGAATCTATACATTACTTTGGGCAGTATGGCCATTTTCATGATATTGATTCTTCCTATATATGAGCATGGAATGTTTTTCCATTTGTTTGTGTCCTTTCTTATTTCCTTGAGCAGTGGTTTGTAGTTCTCCTTGAAGAGGTCTTTGACGTCCCTTGTAAGTTGGATTCCTAGATATTTTATTCTCTTTCTAGCAATTGTGAATGGGAGTTCACTCATGAGTTGGCTCTCTGTCTATTATTTGTTTATAGGAATGCTTGTGATTTTTGCACATTGATTTTGTATCCTGAGACTTTGCTGAAGTTGCATATCAGCTTAAGGAGATTTTGGGCTGAGACAATGGGGTTTTCTAAATACACAATCATGTCATCTGCAAACAGGAACAATTTGGCTTTCTCTTTTCCTAATTGAATACCCTGTATTTCTTTCTCCTGCCTGATTGCCCTGGCCAGAACTTCCAACACTATGTTGAATAGGAGTCGTGAGAGAGGGCATCCTGTCTTGTGCCAGTTTTCAAGGGGAATGCTTCCAGTTGTTGCCCATTCAGTATGATATTGGCTGTCGGTTTGTCATAAATAGCTCTTAGTATTTTGAGATACATCCCATCAAT